GACATCTATTTCGTTTTGCTGCCTATCGTCAACAACTGCGGGGGCTACTGGATCAGGCCGGTTCAGGACAGTGTCGAAATGTTCTTGCCATCTATGTCTGATCTCTTCTTCTGTTGTTAATAGCTTTCCATCCTGGTCTTTCACCATGTTCATTCTTCATGGCCGGTCGTTGCATAATGTCTTCGTTACCTCATACACCTCTTTTAGGTTGCCATTCCTTGCAGCCTCCTCGGCTTCCCTTGCAAGCGCATTTGCCCATTCCCTCTTGTCTGCTCTCCGGCTTCTCTTTACTTCCTTGTTTTTCTCATTGTATTCTATTCTTCTTCTTTCTCTTATGTCCATATGGGCAATAGGGAAAAATTATACTAAAAAAGAAGAAAACATGCAAAATTTCTCTTGTAAAGGCAACAGACATTTCGGAACAAGATTGAAGACAGAAACTGTAACTGTCGTTGTTGCCTAGATAATGCACCTCGGCACCGAAATAAAGGAACAGCACTGCACCTCATTCCCGTATGAAACCACGCAAAACGAAACAAACTCAAGCCTTACATAGTCGAGACTTTTAAACTTACTTGGTAATTTTCTTCTTAATAGGCGACAAGAATCTCAGCGCGGACGATGGCCTAACATATATCAAAACGTTTTTGCGTTTTACTCTTTACGCGTTAAGCATACGGCGAAGGCTGTGTGGATAACAATATTTTGCCAAGCAACCAATGGCTTGGGAAGCACATTACTTTCGAACACGTTTCAGTGTGAATTGGGCAATATTAGTAGACTAAACGACCATTTTAAACCATACCATAACTGTTTTCTTTTCGTTCTCAGGGGGCACAAAGGGTCGGCATCCAAGTGGGCAATTTAGTTGTGTGACTGATCGTAACTGTCCGAAGTATTCCCGTTGTATTATTTCCTCGTGCAGATGTCTTGATGAGCTGCGTGGAGATGGAGAACACTGCTATCCAAGTAAGAAACTATTTCGTTCTCTCTACAGGAGAATTATAACTGATGTCATTGTTTACATTTTTCCTCATTAACACACGACTTTACGCAGAGAAGGCATCACGCTAGACACGATTTGACTACAAAAATTTAAAGAACGTGTCAAACTTAGTAATTGCCAGATTAGCAAACTTAAGAGGGAATGTCCACTGAGACCGAGCCATATCGCAAAATATGTGGCACATGATGAAAATTCAAAATTTTTCATGTTCCTCCTAGAAATAGCCTATGGTAAGCATAAAAACGTGGTGGCTTTATTTTTCTTGAAATAGTTTTAAAACCCGCCAAAAAATCACAAATTCGTTACGGCCCCGCGTCTGGTCAAAAACACGCAAAATTTAGTGACTCATACCTTAGCATAAACTTCGCTTTGTTCAATCCGCATCACAATAACACTCCAGTTTGAGCCTGGAAATGTGTTTTCGAGGGGTTTACAAGTCTTTTGAGGCCAATTATACTTCTGTGGGTTAATTTTCAAGCTCCCGACGAGCCGCTTAAAATCACTAAAATTCGCTTCCTCAAAATTCTTAATTATGCACACTTTTTCAATCGGCAAATTCGCTACCCGATAAGACACCTAAAATTCTGACATTTCGAAAGAAGAAATGTCAATATAAACCTGGTATAAAAATAATTTTAGGGCTTTTCATCAGCGCTAAGTACTGACGCTCTCAAAATCATGATAATCACAACACCAACATGCTAGAAACGAAAACAATAGGCAAGTGCCTCTGACCAGATAATCAAAAGCAACGTGAAAATGTCTTCTTGCATTTGATTTCCTCGGTGTTTGGACTTAA